CTCTACCTTCTAGCAAAAGGTTTTTTGCTTTATTGCATCGATAGTTTTCCTTAACTTTCTTTAAACCACCTATTTGCTTATAGTTATTAACTTTGTGACAGTGTACATGTGGCTATCTGGCACATAGTTCTGAATAGATATCAATTATATGGTCATTATAAATGACATAACTTATTGTAATAAAAGATTAATATTGCAGAGATATCATTTGTTGTAATACTCGGCTATATTTTAAATGCTGGAAATATGATATACGTGTGCATATACTAGAAAGCAAAGTTGAAACAATTATTTTTAGGAGCAGAGTTTACTTATTTAATCAATTTCAATCCAGTAAGAGAAGAATGTTTTTATATCTCTCACTTTTTAAATAGCTTTTACTTATTGGAATAGTTGAAAAAACAAAGCATATGTAATAGACCAATTAAGTTTTTAATGTTTTTAAATAAAAGTAAAAATTCCTTTTTAAGCTGCTAAGTGATTCAAGCAATATCATCGTGCAAAAATGATGTTAAAGAGGGAATTTGTTAAGCTATAACCTGTTTTCACTCACCATTAAATAATTACTGAAAGGATTTGGGGATCAAAAAATTGTAAATCTGTGTAGGTTGAAAAGCCTTCTATCAACAAGATTGCTCTTATTTTCAGTAATTCTATGAAACATACGTTATTTATGGCTCCCATTTTATTTAAATATTACATTAATTGTACACATCTAATATATTTATATATCAAAAATGGTTGAATAACAATGTTATCGTTGAATGATATTAATCATTTCTGTTACTCTGCACATCTTGTTTTACAAAAGTTGTAAAAGTTTAAAAATAATCTTCAAATAATTAAATCAAACAAAATTATTATCAAACTTTAACTATTTTATTAATAGTTAGTAGTGTGGAAACTATATGAATTACCTGTTTATTTAATATACATATATATATTTTGGATTGTTCTACCAGCATTAAAAATAACCCAATTTTTAGCATGAATCTTTTGCAACATCCTTGATGATATCAAAATCATAATAACAGTAAAAACTTACAAATAGAAGCAAGAGAAAGATGATTAAAAGCCATGAAGCCCATTAATGTCAACACTAAAACTTTTATAAACAAATTCTTTTTTTATTTTTTCACATCTATATACCACACCATTAAAAGTTTAAAAAATCAAGCTAACTGTGCACATCACATCATCTGGCAAACCATTTCACTCTCTTGCATTTCGTTTTTGCTTACTCTTGGACCATGACCATCAAGCTGGTAGTTGGATGAATCCACAAACATTAGTTTCCCATTATTTTCATAATCTGGCTCCTATGGGATTTCTACTCCCTCTGGTAGCCATTCTGCAGTCTACACACTGTCTTTGAGAATGGTAAGCACATTTTCTTTTTCATCACCCTGTGCCCTCTTATAGGATCCTTCCAGGTGGCTGATGTTTTCCTCTCAGGGTATGCTTATTTCCCAAAATCCACTTTGGGCCAGTGGTAATGGAATGAGCTCAAACTATTTGCCTTGACTGTACCAGTGCCCACTTTCAAGACAGGGTGTTCTGCAAGACCACTAGAGGTATCCTCATGGTATTAAATTTACACAATTGCCTGTTCCAGACCATATTATTCCATGGAATGTCATGGAAAAAGCCAGCACCAAGGAAGTGATTGACCACTTGCTTGCCAGCTTTTCAAAATAGGGTTTTGCAGTCACCAATTCCACTGTCCCTAGTAAAAGACCTTTTTGACAGGCATCTGATGAGATTCTGGGTGCTTCTTCAGGTCTCCCAACATGAATTCTCTTTCCCCTTCCCTTCAAGTAGAGCATGGAAGATTTCCTCACTGATTGTGTACAGCACAATATGGTGGGAAGTATGGTGGTGGTGTCACTGTATGTGTAGTGTGGGTCACCCCTCAAACAGCTAGTGTACCCTCCTCCTGTTGTAGGATGGGTTTATCAACCCTGTTGCTGTCTGTCCAGTTGAGTCAAAGTGAGACAGTATTATCTAATTGTGCCCTAACCATTCTACGCTTCTTGGGTCGTCAACCACTTATATGTGGGTGCTCTGTTGGTTGTGTAAAATGTTCTACCCATCCCTGTGACACTTGGGGCTCTCCTGCTTCACATCCCGTTTTCCTTCCAGGGGAAGAATATACCCTTGTTAAAACAAGATGCATTCTCCTATGGATGTGCTTCTTTAGACCCCTTGCCATCAAATGTCCCATCTATGGGCTTTTCCTTTGAGGGCTCTTGGAAGGTAGCTCATCTAGATTTAATGTTTTTAATGGCTTCTCCAACTTTTCAGTATGAAATTCTAGCTATTCTGTGTGTAGAGGTGTGATATTGTCTTGGATGTTGTCATTATCATTACTGAACATGTATTTCCAATAGGTACTCATCTCTGCCCACCTGTCCTCCCCACTTTCAGTGCAATTTCTTCTTGCTTCATATATGAACAAAGTTATTTTGAGTGCAAGTGCTTAAGGGGAGTTACTACACAAGGAGTTTGTGTTATCTTCCTATTGGTGGAGGGCTATTGTATATAACACTCGATTTTTAGGTGGGAGTTAGCACAAGGATAGTGGCATGTAAGTCTCATAAGCAGAGGTTTGTATCTATCAGAAATATATTTTCAAATAAGGAAAGTGTTAACTTTCATAAACCATGTATGTTTGTCTCTGCACTTTTTCCAAGAAATTGATATTTTTTCTGTTGTATGGAGACAAACAATGTACATGGTACTTTAAATGTGACCTATTGGAGTCTTAGGCAGAGTTATAATTACCCTCTTTCTTTTTAATTGAAAATATCTATAAATAAAAGAAAATTTTATTTTTAATTTCATGAAAAATGACTGCTCAACAGAAAGACTTGGGGCATTTATCAACAATCATATCTAAATACACATCTTTCCCACAAGAAAACAAACAGTTTTAGTGTAAGTCATTTATAAAGTTACACACCCCAAATCTATAACTTTACAGGCCAGTATATGGTTGGTTTTGTCATGTAACTTGTGCCTTAAAATACACTTTTAAAGAAATCATTATTGAGCTCAGAATTCTACATTAACTTTTTAAGCCACTACCCTGTGGCTAGTCACACAGAAATGCTTTGATGTTAAAGTAATGTATACAAAAACTGATGATTTGTCCTTTTTATTGTTTCTTTACCTTCAAAAATTAATTAGCAAATATTGTGAAATCCAAGACTGGTTGTTTCCATGGAAGTCCTTAAAAGTAAAGTTACATCAAATTTCCAGTAGTTAATAAAACACAATAATAACACTTTACTATAAGTTTCAACTGCCTGGTACAAATTAATAGGTGTTATAATTGAATGACATTACAAAGCAAAAGCCTTTTAAAAATAAAGGTGTGCTTTTAACTGATACATCCTTTAAAAAATGCAATGTATAATGAAAATTGGAGATTTAATCAGAGATTAAAATTCTAATTGAACTATTTGCATGTAGATAGTAAGGCCCCAACCTGATCATTGTATTTTGAAACACAAGTCATGATATTTGGACATTGTTTTTCCTCAAGACTTGTGAGCTACAAATAGACCTATTTAACCATTAAAGTGTTCAGAAATATAACTATTGTAAGTATAACGCATACGTGTCCAAATGGATACAGTAACATGATTTTAGTGTCTTTGAAACAACAAAGTAATGTACCAATATCACTTCACAGAGAAAGAAAATCATTTTCTGATTAACTGTTAAATTATTTTCTTTTCTGCTTTTGAAAATAAACAATTTGAGCTTCTCAAGTTTGAGAAATTAATATTGCCATTTTGCTGTTAAAAAATATCAAATGTCTGGGTATATCAAAAAGTCAAAAAGATATTCAGTATTAACCTTATAAGAATGAAGTTGGTCCATTCGACCAACCTTGGAACTCTGAATTTTCTACGTGTATATACACAGTATATGGCAAGCTTTTACATAAGTCTGTTGTACACAAAAAACATTCTTTAATAAAGGTATTTTTTACTAAAGATTTTTCTTTGAATTTCTGAGTCAGTTTGTATGAAAGGTGATTTTCATACTAAGAATAAAAATACTTCTTTTCATCTTAAAGTTTCTCATTATATTTGCATAACCTTTAGAATCTCTAAAATGAATACCAAAAGTTTGTTTTCTGATACAATACCTTATCTCCACTCACATAATAGCATTTTTTTTGTTCAGTGCTGCAATCTATGTGTGCCGTTTTTGTTCGTCACTATACTTCCACATGGTACGGTTGCAGTGCAGTGTGTAAGTAAGCATGTGACAGCCCTCCACCAGTAGGAGTGTGACACACCCTCCTGGTGCAGTTGACTTCCTCTATACTGTACAACCCAATCTTTACTTCTTGATTTGGCATACAAGAGTGCAGATGTATCTAATTTTCAGTCATCTTTTTTTTTTCTATTTTCAAAGATTTTGTGGAACAACTATTTTTGTTGTTTCCAGCTTCTTAATTTTCTTTTCTACATTAACTTGATATACCGTAGGTTGATCTGAAACTCCCCACTCTCAGTTTGAATTGTGACGTTACAATTTAAAGTTACAGCTACTACTACTACTGTTGTTACTATTGGCACTCAACCTCAACCTGCAGTTTCTCAGTCTTCATGCACCATGTTTTCTGCTAAGGATCTTTCAGTCTTAGTTCACCTGCAGTTGGAGTCTAGCATGTGTCTTCTGACCCCAGACCAGATTTACCATTTCCTGGGGAACCTGGTCAGGATGACCAGATTTGGATAGCCTGTTCCCATCTCTTTCCATTGCTGTGAATGCTCCCAGACCTCCCTCCACCTTCCTCAATATGGTATCCCAGATTTGTTAGCTTTTGTCTCTATCCCCTGTGTATTATAGTTCCTCTCTTTCCATCCTGCATACAGACCCTTTCATGGATTTCCTTGTTTTCCTGCCCTCTCCAGATATCAGGTTCCATGCTGATAAGTTTACAGCACAATTACTTTCTGGGATCAGCATGTCTCATCCCCCTTTTGCCTCTGATTCCTATGCATTAGTGTATCATCATTCAGAATTTCCTTTTCTAGACTCACAGAACTACTTTAAATCATGTTCCAGGTGCTCTGTATCTTTTTGTGGATTGCTTGTCTCATCCTTACAAGATTTTCTGCATGGCGTGGTCCCTAGATCCCATAGTGTTTTGGAGGTTGTCCACCCAATGGGGTATACCACTTCTGGATGCATTTGCCACCCACTTCAATTCCAAACTACCATTCTTTTGGTCACCAGTTCCACATCCTTTGACTTTGGTGGTATACTCCTTCAGCCATTATTGGTACAACCTTTACCCTTTTGCCTATTCTCTTATCTGCCTCCTACCCCCTGGACTTTATTTCTTATACAAACCATTCCGTGTTGTACCATTCTGATTGCCCCTTTCTGTCCTGCTTAACCAAGGTTTCCTGTCCTTATCCTTCTTCAATCATCCTCTCCATTACCACTTCCACTTTCCCATTCTCCTACTTTGGCAACCTCAGTTGTCTGTGTGTCATCCTGCCATCACCACACTCCAGCTTCACACATGGCATTTGGCTGGTCCCTTACAAACCTGGTCTGGACTCTCCACACATGTAGCATTCCTTCTTTCCCAGTAAGTCCATTCTTCATCCTTAATGGTTTATCAGTGAAAGTGATGCATTTTAAACCTTGATCTCAGTGCCATGGTTACCTCCCTTCCTGTCCTAGTGTTCCTTACCTCTCAGAATTTTTTACCTGGCTGTTTCACAGTGGTTCTTTTGTATCTACCATTGCTAGTTATCAGGCAGTTTTATCCAATATTTTCCACTTGTCCCATTCCCATTGAGTTTTTTTCCCCTCTTGTCCTCTTCCTCTTATTTTGCTCCTTTCTGCTTCTTTGTCCACCTCGTCTTATGCCCCTTCCTGATTGGGACCTTCACATAGTTCTCCATGCCCTTACCCAAACTATTTTTTTAACCCTTGGTCACCTTTTCCTTATACCACCTGTCCTTGAAAACCTATTTCTTGCTCCTTTTTGTTTGTGTTCATCGTTGGCCAAATTTAATTATTTTGTGCAACCAAGGCCCTGGAGAACTCTAGATAACATGATGAAATGGCTTGATTATCAAGTTTTAATTTCATGAGAGGAATGATTGTGTTTTGTATAACACATAGTTACAGGGAAGAAATTAAAAAACAGACACAGGGGATTAGAGGTTCACCTAAATCTAATACTTGAATAGAGATTTTTAAAAGCACAGCGAATTATACTTGAAGGTATTTAGAAAATGATAAAAATATAAATATGTGAGAGGTAATTACCAAATAGAAAGCACACTTTACTTTAACTCTGTCGAGACAGTGAGAGTGATTAACACGAATTACTGTTCCTGTGAAGCTATACATATCAATGTTCACTATAGATATGAATTTACTAAGTTACTCTTCATAAAATTTGGCAAGGTTTTTACTTTTAGTAAACTTTACAAGTTTATTGTACACAAAGAAACATATTTGCTGTAAATTATTTTTACAAAAAATTTTCTGTGCATTTAAGGAGTCAGTATAACTCAAACTCTGATTTGTCTGAATGTAAGATTATTTTCTTTGCTACGAATAAAAATGCTTCTTTTCATTTTACATTTTTAATATTTAATTTTCATGACCTCTAGATTCTCCTAAATGTATATTGAAAAAAATTTTAAAGTAAAAGTATGTGTTTTATCAGTTATTTTTTATACATCAATCTAATATTATTCACAATTGTTTTGTTTACTTTTTCTTAAATAATTGATTTTTAATTTTATAGTGTTATTGTCTGGCTTGTATGAAGTTTGGTTTTTCTTATGCCTGAAAAGCAACACATCACATTGCTAACATTAAGTAGATCCACTTGTAGCTTTGGACTCGTATTCATAGTTACCTAAGCCTAAAATATATAACTAGGATATAACAATTGTTAAATGTTATGAGTGCAAAGCTCCCTTATTACCAAGTTACAAAATCAAGATTTCTTATCCTATATTGCTGCCAATTTCAAAAGAACCATTGGAAGCTTCTAATTTAAAATAAGCTCTTTCTATTGGTTATAAACAAGTACAAGGTTTTGAAAATAGCATGAAAGTTAAGAAAAGATGGGTGTGGCTTCTGTCAATGAATGAGGAAATTTATATCTCAGTAAACTGAGATGTTAGGAAGTTCACACTGTAATATTGGAATTTGGAATTGTATAAATATTGTTTAAAATAAGACAGACTGTGTACATATTGGGACTTTGGAGTCATACTAACAAAAAGAACAATGCCCAGTGCTCACAAGTTACTTGACAACAAAAGTGAAGATTGAGAATTTTTAAAAATATTCTTTTGAAATTAAAAATTTTAATTATTAACTTCATTCTGATGCTGTTTTTATTGACATGTTGATAGTAAAGCTGTTGAATTAAATTTTTAAACTAACTGTGAAGTATTGTGATGTACAGAGGAGTCGAGCTGTCTGCATAGGGTTGAAATATACTTGTTCTCACGTTTTTTATTCAAGATTGGGTGTATATGCAGAAAACTAATATAGTATTTAAATTAAAAAAACAAGAAGATTGATTTACTGACTACCAAGATGCATTACAAGTTAAAATATTCGTGACATAATTACCTTTTTATGATTTAATATAAAACATTGGAATAAAAGTATTATAAAGAATGTTCATTCAGTAAAAATTTACAAAGTTCCTGGTCATATGCCCTATTGGTTCTGTGAAAGAATAAAATGAAGTTGGTTTAAAGAAATTTTGGAAATACTGATCAAAATGTGTTATTCTCAGGTACACTGATAACCTTACGGGTGAGGATATTGACCTCAATAACAAGAAATATGGTAGAAAGTGTTATGCAGAGTTAAAACTGAATTGCTGACTTTCCTGAATTGAAGAAAAGAGATGACACATTGTAGACAGTGTAAAAAATATCAATCAATATTCATCTAATATACAACAAGTCAGATCAAATAAGTGCACCTTCTGTGATCTGGAGAGAGTTCAAAGTCAGATGAAGATCTGTCAAAATTCTGAAGTAGACTGAAAGAACTAACCACTGTGTTCTTCTTGCAGTTTAGGTGAACTAAGCCAAAAGAGTAAGAGAACAGAATATTTCCTTGCATTATACAACAAAAAAATATGGTCAAGTTTTTATTTGTGGTTGAATAAAATGTGGCTACTTCTAAAAGAAATAATGGAAACGAAAGCATGAAACATTGATGTAATTTTTGTTAACAGGATTCAGTTGCAACTGTGATTTGTTGTGAAGCAAATTAAATATCCATTCTAAACCTAACAGAAAGTGTGTTGTATATTTGAAAGAATTATTTACAGGTAGAGTTTGATAATTGTACTTGTATGGATTTTGTTTCTATTTTTATAGAATCTTAACGTGAGGATTCCATCAGTATCTCCAAGAGTCCCAGCACCAGCTGTTGGAAGTTTGACTGTGTCTGTTACATCTTCACAGGCAATTGGGGCTAAAGTTGGTAAGAATTCTAATATTTCATAATAGAGGCTATAAGTTTCAACAAAAATAATCTAGTTTAAAATATTCATTAAAAAAATCAAAAAGTATTTATGAACTGTATGATAAACTTTTTTGGTGGGTAAGTAAATAAAGCCCAGATGAAGTGGTGATAAACTTATATAAAAATTATGCAATCAATTATGGACCATCCTTTTGAATTTATATTTTGTCCTTTGATTGTTAGCGTTGGTTTGAAAAGTTATTGGCAATGTGGATAACTTGCAATAGGAATTATTAGCAAAACCCGTAATGACAGTTTTGTTTGAACACTTGCTCATGGATGTTATTTCATATATTTCTTTTTAATTTTAAATGTATCATAAATTATATATTTTTCAACATTCTGCTTTTTTATTTATGCACAATTTTCAAGAGCAGTATCAAATTCAAAGTTTCTTCTTACTTGGCTATTTGAAGTAGAAATCTGATTGAAATCTGCACATGATACTATGTACACATTGCAAAAATTGCTCTGTTGCTTATTTGTATGGCCAGGCATAACTTCTAGTTCATGCAGAAGGCTATTGGGCCTGCTGCCTTTTCTGGAATTGTCTAACAGTTCTAAAACAATGTATCCATACTTGACATTCAATAATGTTCACCATCCATGAGAAAAAGGATTTTATTTAAATTTTAGTTTACAAAGGAACTATCATCATAGTATTACATCACAGAGTAGATTTTATTAAAGTATTTCTTTGTAGACACAGTTATCAATGAAAGTGCCTTGCTTTTCTGTTGCAACACTCATGAGATTTTCACTAAAGAAAAACAAATAATTTCTTAAGTTTGTTTTTTGATTGTTTTATATTTGAAACTTTTCCTTTTTTGTAAATTTTATTGGTTAAATCTGAAACATATAATTTTGTATTATTTATTGCACAGCTATAAAAATACTGCCTAGTTATTATACAAATATTCCCCAGTTATGATTGGTGTGGTAATTTCCGAGATCCGAGTTCTGGACTTGTACATCACAAGCTCCATTATAGTAAGATTGGAAATAATGTAGTCATGCCATCAATGCACATGCATTTAGAAGATGCATAGCAACAGATACTTTTCACATCACTTTACATGCAAGTGCATGGTCACTGACACACCTGATAAAAGTGAAATATTTTGTGTGTATATTGTCAAGTAGTTAGTGTATTTTAATTGTTTATTTAGATTTCTATTTATCATTACCGTGTATTAAATGTAGTCATTATATGTGTTCCTGTTTTATGTTGTGACATCTTATCCCACAGCAGGGTTCATTAAAATCTGTAATTTCACATAATTCCAACAAATGTTGCTCCAACATGTTATTTTCATGAACTAACAATCAACTCGACAGATGAAATAGGCTTATTCTATATGATATTTGGTGAATTAAGGATAAAAATATTCTCAAATTCAGTTTCACTACTATGTAGTAATTGGCAAATGACATCTTAAGTCCTATATTCTATGTGCATTAGCTGCTAAGTCTAAGAACTCTTGAGTGAAAGCAGAAGAGAATATGCTGTAATATGGCAACTCCACTACACATGCATATCCAGTGCTGATAAGGCCTTTCACTCAATACCAGGGCTCATCAGTCTGGCTTGGATAAGAAACCTAGTGGCCTAGGTGCTATATATATATATAATTTTCTAATTGAAGTCTATTCAGTCCTTTAATTCCAATACAGTACATTACCTCCACTCACATAAATAACTATTCTCGTTCAGTTCTGATATCTATATGCAAAAAAATTTTTACACATGCCACAAGAATTTTATCTCCCCTTCATTGGAATTGACTGATTCCAATGCCACTCTCGTGCAAATCATCATGAGTCAACCCTCCACCGATAAGAGTGCGACACACTCTCATAGCGCAGGTGACTCTCTCTGTTCAATTCTACCAAACTATCACTTCTTGTTTGGTAGTACTTGTGTTCAAATGTTTTTTATTTTGGTGCTCTATGTGTGAATTGCTTTCATGATTTTAATAGTTTAATTTCTGAAGTGATATTCCCTCATTACTTCTTTTCTTCACATTGAAGAAATCTTTAACTTACTTTTCCAGTCTTCTTCTTCTCACACTTGCATATTTTACATCAAACACTTTTGTCTGATTTATGAATTTGTACAATAAATTCTGAGGTTCATGTTCACACATTAGAACTATTTTACAGGCTGCAGGTGGGGGGAGACCTGTCATTGGATTTCTTACGTTGGATCTTCTTTTTGGGCCCACACGCTTGATATTCATAGCATTGCGTGTCATGTTGTGGGCACTTTTGCTCTTGTCATGGATCTGATTCCCATCCAGACAAAATCTATCAGAGAGAGTGGTCTCTCAATCCTTTTGTTTTCCAGTGCCTTTGACTTCAGTGGGGTACTCCTCATATCGAAACCTTTGCTACATCCCTTAACTACAAATTGCCTTGGTTTTGGTCTCTGGTCCCTTGTCTTCTTACTCTGGTTATTGATGTTTTCAGTCAGGATTGGATCAACACATTTGTCTATCCTCCCACTCTCCTTCTTTTCCGGGTGATTTTGATCATCCTAGACACTCTGTGTTCAGTCTTTCTGATAGCTCCTCCTGGCCATTTCAGCTGTGGTTTCCGTGGCTTTTCCAGCTCCAACTTCCTCCTCTGTTACCTTTCCCTCTGACTGAGTCCCGTCTTCATCACCCTTGATCTGTGGTGTTTCCTCCTGACCTTCCTGTCCTAACACCTGGGTTTCCTCAGGCCATAGGAGAGGAGATCCAGCTTCTCCCGACGGGTTAGCTTCTTCTCTGGCTTATTTCATTCATGGAAGTTTCTCAATGCAAATGGAACATTTTCTGTTGTTGGTTTCTGGGTCCAGAAACATTACATTTGGATTGGGGGTTTTCTGTCTCCTCATCCTTGGATTTTCGGGAGGTCCTGTCCCACATCTTTCGTTTTTCCCAATACAACAGGTATTTATCTCCACTACTCTTTACCTGTTGATGTGTTCCTTCCGTATTCATCATCTGCTGCAATGGGCTGCCCTTCCGGATAGGAATAGTCATGTGATCCTGCACTGCCTCACTTTGCCTACATTTGAACTAATCTCCTAATGTTTCTTGTTTCACCTTTCCCTTACATCTTCCTTCCTTTTATTCGCCTGTGGACATTGGTAATCTGTTTATTTCATTGGTAATTGTGGACATTGGTAATCTGTTTATTTGCCATCAATGTTTCACGTACTCTTTATCCATCTTCTCCTTTCTCCGGATCATTTTTTCCTCCCTAACTCTTTGGCAGCTAGTAAGGATACCTCCTCTGTTTAGCTGCTTTCCATTCCTTCCGTTTTCCACCTTTCTCCTCGGCCTGATCCGGATAGACTTCTATGTCCCGTATGTGCTCTTTTCTGTTATATTGCTTGCACGGCTTCATTCTGTGGTGCCTGTTCCTGCCTCTTTCTTCCTTAGCAGCCGTCCTCTTTTCATGATCTTTCTCCTTCCATCTTTGGCAATTGGGTTTGGCTTTTCATTTGATTGGCTTATTCCTCTGTCGTCTTCCTCCCCTATTTTGTTCCATGTGTCTCCTCATTCAAATTGACACCGGACCTTTTTCATTGGCGTTTCATCTTCGTCATTCCTTGTAGGTCTTTCTTCACTCAGGCATGTGGACTATCCATAATATGTTTGTCTCTCACTATTTGCATCGGATTGCAGTTTCTTCCTCTTCAGGCTATAGTCTTCTGCCTGTAGCCATTCTTCAGAATTCAGTGAGACTTTAGCAGGATTAACTTTTTTTTTTTATTCTTTCCTTTACAAGGGCCCTTTTTCCCTTTTATTATTGCCCACTGTTTGGATCCCGCTCTGTGGCAAGTGGTGCCTGACCAGGTATTCTTTAACAATCAATTCCACACTGTATGGCCATGTCGACTTGCATATTATATTTCCATGGCCACGCAATGCACACTGCAGAGATGGGATGTTCTAAAAGATTGCTTATAGGTTTGTCCTCGCGATGGAATTTTTAACAAAAAAATTGTCCGTACTGGACTGTACTTACCCATGGGTAAAGTAGAAGGGGATATCTGCCCATTCGTGCCATGCCTTATATTGAATAAGTCAGAATGCTTTTAAAAATAGTTTCTTAGTCACCCATTGCACTGTCTCAGGTGTAGTCATTCCTTCAGAGTCTCCTCCTCATCCTCCCCCCTTTTCTTCCAGTGGAATTTGAAAGTCCTTACCACTTTCCATTTCCAAGCCATTGGGGTGGTGGACCATGAAGGCATCCTCCTGAATGGGTTAATGAAATATAAAATATAGAAATTATTATACAACCATTCAGTTGAGAGTAGGAAGGTGGTGTTCTGCTGGTGTAGATGATGTGATATCCTCCATTATGAAACAAATGTAAATGGGAGTGAACTGTCAAAAATTGCATTCACCCCTTTGATTGAGATCCCTCATCCTATTCCCACATGGATGTCAGTTCCCAGTGGCTGTGTTTTGGGTTTAGAGTTGAACCAATCATCACAAGTTCTCACAAATGTCAAACAGATGACTATATTCCTTCCTTAATTATACCTTTGTTACTCCATCCTTGTTGTGGATCATGGTGGAGGTACTTGCAGATTATTATGGTTCTTCCCCTTCCGCTATCCCTCAATGCTTTTTATTTCGAGGATGTTACTGTGCTTGGGGCAGTTCCAGTCAATTTCACCTTTGAGAGAGATGGTTTACATTATGAAGATGTCTGGTTCCCAGATCAATCTATTAATTTCTTATATTAACATGTTCCCCGTTCATGGGTCTGGGGGTTCTTGATTCCCTCTGGCCTCGTGAACTTCAGGTGAAGACGGTGTGGTCCTCTTTCCTACCCCCACCAGATGGCTGTTGTTTGGTTTGTAGTTGACTTAATTGTCTGTCTTTATAGCCATTATCTTTCAGTTTATTTTTTAATAATAAAACATTATCCATAGAAAAATTATAGTTATTACAGACTATTATGAACCGTTTAATCATGTTAAAAAGTATTATTATATCTCAACTAAAGCGGTTCTTAATATTCTTAATTAAAGAAATAGCTTACTTTATTTTTTAATAAATACAAAAATATTTTAGAAACTAAACTATTGACTAAGGAAAATATCTTATAAAAAAATAAAGAGGGAGTTACTTACTTTAGCTTATAAGTAGCTAATAGTAATTTCAAGTAGCTGGGCTTGTCTCGGCATTCCGTGTTATACTTGAATAAATCTTCAGGAGAAAGGGAGTAGGTTGGAAGTTAGAACTGTATAAGAACTTTTAAGATAGGGTGTATAGTTCTATTCCATATCTTTTTGTAAGGGTGGAGGTTGGAGTTTAATTAGTATAAATATTAGGATGGCTTCATTTCTACTTGAAATTTAAGGGTAACTGCCTTCCCACAACTGATTATAGACAGTGAAAGGCAGTAGAAGGTGAGACGCTGAGGGTGTAAGCACTCAGCTTCGTAACCTTATTTGATTTTTTAGGATTTTCCATGAAGGCTGACTAGATTGACATTGGTGTTTAGATTTTGTCTCATAGATGGGATATCCCCAACACATTTGGGTGCTAATACCACAGACATTATCCATTATGACAATAATTTGACAACCTGGAATGATAACAGTTATGCAATATTTAATTCATTATTGTTTTACAGTGTCGATTTAACTGCTCATTAACAATTAATATAATCAATAATTTGTAAGCTATTCATTTATATATATATATATAGAGAGAGAGAGTAGCTTAGGAACTCGTGTTATAATGCTGCACTCTCATCAGATAAATGAAAAGATGATACTGTTAAATGACAGTAATTATACTTAGCATGTGATTACTTTCATTTGTTTTCTTTCATTCTTATAAAATGCAAAGTAAATAGTTAGATAATAATACTTGTAAGATTCTTCAGGATCCCCATCAGTGGTTGGCTTGCAAGCAATTCCTGCAGCTGGAACCAGTGGTCGTCATACGAGCACTACCACCATTCACGCAGTAAGTGGAAGCTCCCCAATGGCATCAATAATACGTGCACCTCAAACATTGGTGGGACAAGTAACCCATAACATTAATCATCCATATTCATCACACGTACCTAGAGGTTAGTATTATGTTATTCTTCATATTTTTGCTATTTATAATTTTTTTCTTCACTTTCTCTCTGTTAACTTTTACTAGACTTACTATTTTATGACTTTTATCTAGGCGTAGAATTTTAAGAAGTGTGATTGTAAAATTAGCTTGGGTGAGCTGATTTTACTTTGTAAAACATGGAAGTGTGATTAATAGGTTTCATGGATATTTCTTTGTAGTGTCACTTTAACCTAGCATCATGTCTTTAATTTTTACAATACTATGTGTTGTAATTATGTATAATATGGCATTAAGGCCATGTGAATGTAATAGTGGTTCTCGGGTACTGTTGGTGGTTTATAACTTGTAAGTGAATGTTGTTTTCTTCTATTGCTTAGAATAAATTCTGATTCATGACTAAGGTATAAGCATTTAACAAACATTTGCCTGTGTTGAAAAACCTGTTGATGTGCATTAGTTTTTTGTATAAAAAGCTGCCTTGTAACTTGGCAAATATAAAAACAACAGAAAAAAGCCCAGTTTCCTAGTTGTTTTTAGTTCTCTTCTAAAAATCCAGAGTATTTGTTATGAAATTTTGTAATTTTTTCCAAAACTATAATGTTCCTTACATTTATTTGTGATTAATGATCATTTGTCACCTCCACTTAATTTACTGTTTCCTTAGATAAAATTTATTTATTTTCTTCCATGTTTTAAAGGGAGTAAATAGTGAAGAGACAAGGTTTTAAAGGTATATTAGCCAATCAGTTATTCTGGAGTTTGCTTTAATGTATAATTAATGAAATTAAAAAGTCTATCATTTTAACAAATAATATTTTTCAATATTTTATTAATATTCTTATGTGTTGAATATTTTTCTGTAATATATATATATTAGTCCACCAAACACTTGTGATGGATTTATACATAATTAGTAATAATATTGTTGAAGTACTTGAAAAAAAAATTATTTTGCATCTTTGTTTTGAGTCATGAAGTTAACAAAATCGCCAGAAAATATTATATTGAAAGCTATGAAGTTTTAAATCCTTAGTCCACATTTTTGTGTCTTGTAAGTTGTGTATAGTTATAAAAATATTTGTGAGCTTGACAATTGAAATTGATGAGGGCTGTCAACAAAAAGCATCAGAAACTGCTCATACATTCAGTTTCAGTGAGATAAAAATTGTTTCCACATTTGAAGTTGTGAATTGTTATTACTCTGTTATGTCTTACTAGTGATGGTACTTGTAGTTGCCTTTCATGCTCCAGAAAAACCAAGTTCATGTTTAGCTTATATGTGAAATTTTAGTCATACTATAGTATCTTGGAATGATTGTCTGATGTAATATTTATTGAGACACATTTGGCAGATTGCATTATAGTAGGGATTTTCATTGAATTTTAAATAGCAATATTAACAAAAAGAATTACATACCATTGGATTTCACAATAAACAATTAGTCGATTTACACTACAATTTGAATTATTTAGTTAATAAATAATCTAAACAGCTAATAATTGTATCTGTAAATTGATCTTTCACACCACACAAACATCTTAGTGAAACAATGCAAAATAAAACTGCTTTACCTGGTAACCTGAGACACTGCATGAAACTTGTGACAAGGCAAGATAAGGTAACCCATATAAGATACTTCAACTTAAAACCTATATTTGTGAATATATATCACATTTATTTATAAATGAAACAGTCAACAACCAAAGTATGAAGTTACATATTTACCTACTAAAGTAAAGGAGATTGACAGATGTGTACCTGCTACAACATAAAGCAATCTGTTGTCAAGCCAGTGTATTGTCTGCTTACAGTTCAAATTCATCTTTTTTGTGAAATGCTGTTGGTTGGAGTTGTGCAGAAACACACACACACACACACACACACATACATATATATATTTGATAGCTCTGTAACCAAACAAAATTGAAGACTATAAAAATTACAGTTTATCTGAGCAATAACAAACTTATGGAGTAATTTACGTTTAATTTAATACTTTTTTGAGGGGTGGTGGATACAATAGGGATGATGACAGGCTAAGATAAAATGTGTCACGTGGGTCACACTAGTGGAAATTCAGGATTTTTTTTAATATTGCCTTGTAGAATTAAGAACTTAAAACTTGTATACTATTAAAATATGGATTATTAGCTGAGATTTTATGCTATTCTAATTGGTATAACATAAACAAAAAGTAGTTTAATAAAATTTTGAATGTAAAACACTAAAACCTTGTGTCATGCCCAGTAAACGATACCTGTGGTGATAGAGTTAAAGGTTTTAAAGTTTTGTTTGTGTGTTTTCAAATAGAAAATGCTTCTGGATAAAAAACAAAAACACCCAAAGCAATGAAGAGAGCTGTTGTTTGATATATAACTGACTCTTATTTTCCAAGCACTAACTTTCCGATGCCCTGTTTTTGGTATTAACATTCACCCATTGGTCACCACTAAATGGCAGAGAAATGTTTAGTGATCATGGCGATCTTGTTATAGCCAATTTACAACTAGTGGAAGTATAGCTGCCTTTAAATAAACAGGGCAAACTTGGCATGTAATAGTACTGTAGACTTTTGATTTGTTGTTTGGTATTCAGTAATTTAGTATTTTGATTCTGGGAGACTTATATATTTGCAACTTTGACTTTACATTCCATAACTTTCATGGCCGAGAACTATAATTCTCTGGGAATCCCTAATTATAGTACAAAACCAATCTTCTTTTAAGCACAATTGAGTTCATTACTGATCTGTTAGTAACATCATACAAAATGTATGTATTAGCTTCATATGAAGACATATATACCATAATAATTGATACCTTTTAAATGGCTGATATAAATAGCATTTTGACCGAGATTTTGTGTTTTGCCTGCTCCAGAAGTCCTGATGAGCTCTGGTTTTGAGTAAAACAGAAAGGCCTCATCGGTAGTGATATGTGACACACAATGTGTGTGATCAAGATGCTAGTAAGTTCATACTGCAAAGAGCCAGTAAAGTAAGACTTGTTTAAAATTATCTTCAATCTCATTATAACATACTATCACATGTTACAAATTAATAGATCACACTTAACTGGCATAAAGGTTTATTTGGCATTAAAAAGAAAAAGATGCTGCAGTGTTTGTTTCATTCAAAGTCATTTCACATTTATAGAGAAGTTATTTGAAATTGTATTTCTTATTATTTTTATTTTTTAAGGAATACTATAATATTAAATTTGTTCTTTAAACTTACTTTATTTAATTAAATTTAAAGAGATATTTAACAAAAAAAATTCCCAAATTTGTTTTAGGCTGTAAAAAAGTGCCCTCTAAAGTAAAACATTTTCTTTCAATATTTTTTAATTTTTCCTTTGTACTTTAGAGCTTGTCCTGCCATCTGTGATTGGTATTTAAACTTTTCTCTTGTGTTTTTTCTTCATAAAATGGTGTATGGGGCATGTTCAACCTCAGTTGTAAAAGTTTAAACCAATCCTAGTCATAAAGCTCAATTTCGTTACCATGTCATTCAATACACTGTATCTCACATTTGTCAAATTATAAGGTTATAAGCTAAACGTGTGATGAAATGTTCTGTGCTGTAGTTTAAAAATAGAAAAGTGGGTGGTGCTTATTTCTAAAGATTGACAATTTACTTTGAAACTACAGTTAGTCTGGGGGTATTGTTCTCATGCAATGTGTCTTGAAATCTTAAATTTGAAAAGACCTGTATGGCAGGTGCATGATTTTTTTTATAGCATATAAAAACACTGTATCACTTAACTGTATTCCAATAATAATATTACAGTATTGGCTCAAAATGAATATATTTATAAGAGCAAAAGCTGATTCATGAGTTTTATGGTTAAGATTTATCACTGTGTGAATTAGGCTAAGTGCTTTGAAATGAAAGAGCTTGTGATTTTTATATTCTTTCGTATTTAAATCAACAGAAATAAATAAAATAAGTTAACTTATTTTTTGTACTTATTTTATAATAAAAATACAATTCACTATTAAAGAAAGAAGAGTTTGTGACATTTGTAATAAGAATAAGAAAGTAAAATTGATCAAGCTGGAGTTAAGAAAGTAAAAGGGGTCAGATTGAGTTTTACTTTATTTTCTATTAAAAGCATTAACTTCTTTGAAGAGTCTCAGAAGTATGATACTCTTCAAGGTGCCTTACACACAGATGAACTTTGCATTGTTGCAAATCAACTTAATCAAACTTGTATGGAGGCACAATCTGCACCTTTTCTTTTCTTCAACAAGTGCTGCAAAGTGCTTTCCAGGTGAGAGCCATTTATGTATGTCTTCAAAACTGATGATTGAATACTTGCAAATGAGAAGGCCCTCCTATACTTTCAGTTAGTGGTTTCACGAGGGATTCCGCCAATTGTAAATTGAAATCCTTCTGTTTGTACTTGCCCTGGTTAATAACCTGTTTGAAAAAGATGATAGAATTAACAATAGACAGGTCAACAAGTCTAAAGAAAAGCTTCTTATACCATTTCACAGTTTTACGTGAAATTTTATTTTTATGAAACTACTTATCTTTAGAAAAGTTCCTGCAAAGCATTAAATAATTTTATCCACTAGTTTTTATTGGAATGAAATTTAATGAGAGTTCCATAACCTACTTACAATGTAAGTAGATCTTTGTCATAGGGTTAATGTAATAAGGAAAAGTGGAATGCAACAAACATCAACATCATACATATGCATTAGTGACAATTGCCTCAAAGTCAAAATTAACCCACCAAACAAGTCTTCCAGCCTCGCAAGCTGGGTGTTAATTAACATAAAGCTTCAAATTACAGTAATGGTATCATCATGTATTCTTTCAATTTTGTCTTTGCTAAGGTAGAAACCTACTTATGACATGTATCTTTATTCTGATAAAATTTAATGGTATTTTGAATTTTTTACAAAGAAAGAAACTGAATATTAATAAGTAACTATTTCTTATTCATAAAAGCTGCAGATATTGGGAGTATTAGTGCTTTTTGTGTTGTTACATAATCGTTGTTTTTTACTAGGTGCTGCTGCTGTTGCTAGCATTAGTGCAGCCCCTAAATCAGCTGTTGCTACACCAATTCTTCGACCGCATAGTAATACATCATCCCCTGTACTTTCCTCAACTGCTGTGTCTAATCATCCTCATCCCCAGATCATTGTGAGAATACATTGTTGTATGAATAAACATTAATAGCATCTCATTAGATGAAAATTCAATAGATTTTAATTTAGTTTATCGTTTAATATCATGTTGGTATAAGTGTTTTAGAAAAGAACTTTAGTAACTTTATAACATACATTATCAGTAATTTGTTATGTAGTAGCAATTTATTTTTATTTTTTGGTATATAATATTACGCTAAAATGCTGAAAGTGTTGTTGAAAAATGTTATTCTTTATAATTCTTTGTATATTACTAAGCTTTACTGGAATACTTTCATAATTATTTACTAGTACATGATAATTTTAAAAGTAATCACTCCAAGGAGCTTTAATATAATGGGCATAATACCATTCTCACACAACCTTTTCTAGGCACGTACACCTTTGTTACGTCCAGGCAGGACAACAACACCTCCAACTTCAAAGACAGCATCTCCTGTTCCACTGACCATTACACATGTCATTGATTTTAAAAAGTAAGGCTTCCTTTTATAAACAAAATGTTTCTTAAAGATATTTTGGAAATATATGATTGATAAACACAATATGCAATGGTCTTTTTTGTATTGTTATTTGGTATGAAACTATTCGTATAGATATTTCAAGAGTGATTGGAAGCTTATTTTTTGCCTAAAATGGAGTTGTGAAGTACTTGAAAATACTTATTTTGTGATATAAAAGGATTTCTCCTTTTCCTTTTGGAAATGGGGTATATATTAATATAAAGTTACACTTGTATTTTAATGTGTGTGTGTGTTTGTATACAGGATTTAGTATGTTGTATTAAAACAATTTTGGTAATTCAAATCAGTAAGTTGCATGATGACCACAGACAATAAAAAGGTGTGGTGTAATAGCATGTTTCAGAACCACATTTTGTAGTTAGTGTAATGCCCTTAAAAAAAGTCAATCTCTTTGGGAAGGGTATGTTACAGTCCTTTCCAATGCAAAATATTCATAGGTAGAGTGTATACAGTCACAGAAAAAAGGGGTTATAATTCCTAAAAGTCAGGGAATTGTAGTACCTCTTTTTTATTTATTTTTTTTGATAAACTGGTAATTCCTGTAACTTGAAGTCCCTTGTTTCAGTAGTTTCATTTAATTTACTGTATATTTAACACTTTAAAGTAATTTGTTTTTCTTTAAATAATTTGCTTAGAAATGTATATGCTTTATAATAGTTTTTTAATAAGTTTATATTAAAACTAGTTGAGGTTCACTGACTATTGTACCAACTGAATCTTCTTCTGTACAGAGACAACTGCTCATTCATTTAATAGAAGGCATTAAACTCCAGATTAGTAGCTTTTTTAGTGTTTTTTTTCTGTTTGATTATGCATAAAATTTTCTTCTATGAACACTTACATATGTGTATTTAATTAATTTTTGCATTTGATTATTGTATTGTTTTTCTTTATGGGGTGTATATTTTCCTAAAGAAAAGAATGAACATATTCTGTAAGTCGTGTTTTACACTAGATATGAGGAGAATTATATTTTTAAAGCAGTTTTGAAAGGGCCTAATATTTAAATTAGGGTTATTGCTTTGTTAATACTTATTGAATGAAATTAGTTTTATATCAAAATTAATGTGAATTTTCTATAATAATGTTTTTATATTTATGATTGGTCAGCAAGTCCTATGGACACAATGTTTAAAAATGTAATGTCCCAGTATATTTGAAATGCTAATAAAAGTATCCTTAAGATGTATTCACAAGTAAAGTATCTCATTCATTTATTTTTTCTCTGTATAATCAGAAGTGGAACCCATATCGCTGCTACAGGCCAATCACAAATTGGTTTAAATGCTACAAAAATTGGTGAGGCTAATGTCAGATCACCTGCAATAAACAACAAACCTGTACATGTTTCTCAACCTATTGTTCAACATCTTCATCAGGTAATGATTAAAATATAATGTGCCACACATCAGTTAAGATTTTAAATCTTTCATATATTTCTGTGTATTCCTCTGTTAATGATTAACTAAATGGTGGGGATGCAACTCAAAAAAAAATGTAGGTAGAAGAACTATTTTCGTTTTGTTAAATTAAAATACATTATAGTTTTGTATTACAGGGTAAAGAATGGATGTTAAAATGATAGTGATAGATGAAGTTTGTGATGAATTAAAATTTTTTGACAATTTGTCAAAAGGAATCTCAATATAAGTATCACTGTGTAGTTTAGAACTGAAATATGTAAGTATTGTGATTTATTGATAAACATTTTGCTGTATCAGTATCATTTAAACCCGAAATTAATTGTTACATCATGAATAATAAGTGTTTCCTATCCATCAGGTAATGAAAAGTATTTTAGATACAAAAAAAAGGTTAATACTTGCATAAGACATTGGTATAAGGCCTGTTTTATTTTTAACGTTACATTCTTTGTCTAGTTCATCATAAATGTTTCCTACCCATCAGGTAATGAAAATTATTTTAGATACAAAAAAAAGGGTAATACTTGCATAAGACATTAGTATAAGGCCTGTTTTATTTTTAACGTTACATTCTTTGTCTAGTTCATCATAAGTGTTTCCTACCCATCAGGTAATGAAAAGTATTTTAGATACAAAAAAAAGGGTAATACTTGCATAAGACATTAGTATAAGGCCTGTTTTATTTTTAACGTTACATTCTTTGTCTAGTTCCTTTGGGATTTTCAAGAATTAGAGAGTGTTTAATAATAATGTTTCAACCACACTGTGTTCACCATATCCATTGCTGACAATAAACATGCTTTGCAAGCTTGGAAAAGTTGTTCAAACCGTAATAAAGGAATGTAATTGTCGCTATGGTTTTTGTTTCTGATAATTATTATGAGAAATCATTCTTTTCTAGTAAGGAAACTACCCAGATATATTTTTAATTTAAATCCAAGGTCAATGACAAGCAAAAAAAATAGTATTTCCTCTTTATTAGCAGTCTTTGTTTTCTAAAGGTCTAAATCTTACTTTGCGACATGTATGAAGCATGAGCTAAGAATTGTCATTTGTATTATTAGATTTCACTACATAAATTTAATAATCAGCAAATTACAAGAAAGACACTATTTCTCTCCAACCTGTCATGCTTTTGATAAACATTTTGTTGTGCTCTTATAATCATATCGTTTATGATTATAACATTGAGTGTGTTACTAAACCTTGCAAAATTATGTTTCACAACGATAAATTTCACAAATTATTCCTCACAGGAGCTTAAGGCTCAGTAGGATCTTCCTTCTTACAACAGTTTTTTTATTGTTGTTTTATAGATAAAAATTGAATGTTATTTGATGTGGAGTGTTTGTATCCTGCTAATATCAAAATATTGAGACGGAATAGGAGGAATCTGGATGAATTTTTATTACATATATATATATATATATATACATAAGATAAGAATGTATAATGTATTGCTGTTTACACAGTGCAATTTTTACATGTACCATAAACTCAAATACTGTGTTAGAAGAAAGAAGGTTTGTTGGAGGTTTAAGAAGTAATGTTGCTTCGTAAGATAATTTAAATCCATAAAAATTGAGATGTAATAAAAACTGAATGTCATTTCATTCTCTTTTCTGCACCTCTGGCTTTGTCAGTTGTATCATTTAGATATGCTTTATAGATATATAAAAGTAAACAAAGTTTCTAGTGATGTGTTGGTTCTATTTTGTATTGGCAAAGATCACCTACAGTATCAGAATCTTCTAAATCATCGTTACTTGAACTTGTCTAACCTGTATAATGTTTTCTACTCTCTATAATCAGCTGAAATTTCACATCTTCTCTGTAGCCCTGTTGACACAAGATGATCTGTCAAACAGGAAACTGTGTAAACATTTATCATACCTGAAAATGTTTTATAAATTTTTATTTCAGAAAAGTATAATTCATACACACACACACACACAGAGTATGCTATTATAAACATACATTTAGATCCTGCAATAACATTGAAAACATTTGTAAAATGTAGGCAAGAAATTATCCATCCTAGGTGATTATTGTTGTATGTCTGTGATCATATATTTTCTTTTTTGATACACACCTATTATTTAGACAGTAGTTGTTTATGATGCTCTGTGTTTTTGTTAATACTACTAATAATGCACTTTCCATTCAATAGCACAAACTTGGAAAACCCTTTTATGTATATTTTTTGGCTTAAGAAGTACTTTAACATATGTAGTAAAATTTTGTGAAATTGCAATATCAAAGTCATTCACTGTTTAAATAAATGTAATTTTTGGTTGCAGGTCCCTGAGAAAGGATTTTCAAAGATTCAGGCAACACCTGTTACCACAGCACATAGCACTCTTGCTCAATCTGTGCCCAGTCATCGTCCAGTTGCTGTACCTCAAGGAGCAGTGGTGATGCGTGCAATGACATCTTCAACTGCACATTTCTCTCAACAGCATGTTTTACCAGCCTCGACAAGCCACCAGCCAGTAACTGTGCCTTCGACAACAGTTGTCTCTGTAGCATCATTACCATCTGTTGCATATGCAGGGAACTATAATCCCACAAACAGACAAACTTTACATCCTCCGTCCTTACAGGCTGCACCACATACACCTAATAATTCATCATCAGTTGGCCTGACATCCCATCCAACTTTTACTGTGGTTTCAACAAAAGGTGCATCTCATGTAGTACAAACAGTTTCTCATCATCCTTCTCAAAGTGCAACTTCAAGTTTGGGGAGAATAGGTAAAGTATGAACTGGAAAGTTAAGAATTTAGATTTTAAGTGTATTATTACAGAAGAATTTAACAGGGCAGACTTGAATTTGAATAATTTGTAATGTTTTGGAAAGAAATATCTCTAGAGAATGAGCATTTAATTAAACACAGTATTGAAGTATGTGTTATAATGTTATATATTTTAAAATATTATACATAAAGAAATTATAAAACAGAATGATTACTCTTTGTATTATTATTATTAGTGCTGACAACCTCTGTTGCATCTTCAAATGGAGTTCGCATGACCACAAGTAATGCATCATCAATGCGTGGGAGTGCCTCTGTTACACCTGTGCAACACATATCTGCCATTCCTGTAGATAAAGTACACAGTAAGTACTCATAAGAGTAATATGAATTCATGTCTTCACTAATTATGTTGACTGAATTATATAGCAAGAACATATAAATACATAAATATACTGCATTTACCTAACTACAAAACAAAGATATATTGCCAAATTACCTGTTCAAAATTTGTAGTTACTTTCAATTATTTTTGTATATATATATATATGCACTTTAAGTAGAGGTATTTAAAAATCTTATTCTTTAAGTCTATGTATAGTGATAGTGTTTATGTAGGTAACATGAAACTACATTTATTTATCCTAAATATCTCTAAACTTGTAACAATATACATCTGTTTATAAAAGTAAATGTTATTGTTTTATTGCCATTTGAACTGTGTCTAAATTAATATTCCTGCCAAAAAATTTGTAAATCAATTGGCAAACATGGAGATCATGTGACCCTATCAAATTACATAATGCACGAGCTACTTATGACCATGACCTCATGAAAAATATTTTTTTATTTATCTAATCTAATCTAATAATTTCCTAACTTTTACATTTGAATTACTTTTATGATAATAAATAATGAACACACAAGAAAAACAATAAATATAATATTTATATTTCTTGTTTTTCTGTCAACTATTCATGAAACTTAACTCTACTTTTTTGTATTAATGGTATTACTACACTAAATAAGTGTTTATTTAATTAAATAATGTACCTAAGAACACTGAATAATAACAAGTAAAAAGCAGACAATATCATATAACTATCATAATTCTTCTGGCTTTCTAACTGTGCTATAAGATCCATTAAAAATTCAGCTAAGCTTGTAGATGTGTTTCCTTGGGAATATAGTTTGAACTTGAAGCAAAACAGATAAGTCTCTTCAGGAAACAATGTAATATAATACATAATTTGATAGATTAAAACTTTGGGATTATATTGGTTATAAATAATATTGTATTGAACATCAGAGAGAACTATTGAAAAGTTGTGAAAGATAAGATGTGACAGGTGGGCTTGGCAAGAAGGGTCTGATTTTCTATTTTATGGCTCTGTAACCAAATAAGATTGAATGCCATATAAAGTATGATTTCATGAAGTAATAACAATATTATCATATATTCTCAGAGGGGTGGTAAATATATTAGAGAAAAGGGGATATCTGGAGAGTAAATGTCATAATTCTGGTACTAGGGTGAAATTGAGGACTTACAAAACTAAGAACTTAAACTTATACAATATTAAAATTTGATTTATTAACTATATTTTTATGCCAAGGTTATTCGTTTACCATGATAATAAAGTAGTTTAACTAAATTTTCAATTTAACTCTCTGACTAATCCATAGTGAGAGGGTTAAATAAAAGAGAAGCAATTGAAAGTTCTGAAATTTTGTACTTGACTAAGTTATGTGCACCCTCTTAAACAGTTTTAAAGTTTTATTTATAGAGTTTTTGAGATTTTTATACTAAATATGGCTTTTTGTCTACATCTTTGATGCATTTTAGTCATATACATTGCAAATTAATTAAAATATTAAACCTAACACATAACTAATTTTAGGAAAATGGCATCACTTCCTTTCATAATACATTGTCATGCCCAATTTTTCAACATCTAGTACTCTTTCCATCATGGAGCCACACACACACACACCCCATTGGCTCAGTAGTAAGTTTGAGGTCTCACACTACAAAAGTAAAAGTCAGGTTTTGATACTCATTGGTGGGCACATGACAGATAGCCATATTGTACTTAACAACAAATAATCAAACTGTCTGTCATTGGCCTACAATCTTTTTTTTCTTGTGTTTTTACATAATTATTTTTTCAGAAGCAACAGCTTGAGGACATTGGGTGGTGCAGTTGGGTAGGCCTTGCGTGCCATACTTTCCAAATCTTGTGTCAGCTCTTGCAGGCTCTCTCCTTTAGCACGGACTCTAGTCCTAAACCTAGCCCTGTAGACTTTGGACTGTTTTGGGTTCAATACCTGAGTTCTAGAGCAGCTACCAGTGCTGACAACTGTCCAAGTATTTCCAGTGGTTGTCGCTTCAGGCTTGTTGCCAGATATACTGCTTTCTGCTCCTCT